CTCTACCTCTTGAAGCTCTCAACAAATTCCTTACCTCTGTTTCCTCTCCCAGACCTGTTCTGCCATCCACTTGCTTAAGGCCGCTAGGGATGTCACGCATGTTTTTCCTTTGTCTCTTTTCCCCTCTATTCGTGAGTATCAGATTCTCCAGGCCCTCCTTCCTCATTATGTTTCCAAGAAACCTTTTCCCCTCTATTCGTGAGTATCAGATTCTCCAGGCCCTCCTTCCTCATTATGTTTCCAAGAAACCTTTTTCCCCTCTATTCGTGAGTATCAGATTCTCCAGGCCCTCCTTTCTCATTATGTTTCCAAGAAACCTTTTCCCCTCTATTCGTGAGTATCATATTCTCCAGGCCCTCCTTCCTCATTATGTTTCCAAGAAACCTTTTCCCCTCTATTCGTGAGTATCAGATTCTCCAGGGCCTCCTCCTTCATTATGTTTCCAAGAAACCTTTTCCCCTCTATTCGTGAGTATCGGATTCTCCAGGCCCTCCTTCCTCATTATGTTTCCAAGAAACCTTTTCCCCTCTATTCGTGAGTATCAGATTCTCCAGGCCCTCCTTCCTCATTATGTTTCCATGAAACCTTTTCCCCTCTATTCGTGAGTATCGGATTCTCCAGGCCCTCCTTCCTCATTATGTTTCCAAGAAACTTCAGCTGCTTTTCCTGGTGTTAAGTATAAGCTTCCTCCTTGTTGGCAACCTCTGTAAGACATCATCGTTGCTCACACGCTTGGTCCATGATATACTTAGCATCCTTCTGTAGAACCACATCTCTGTCGCCTCGAGTCCATTCTTCATCTTTGAGGAAATCGTCCAACATTTACTGCCGTAAAGAAAGACAAATATCACGTAACAGCTCAGTATTCTTTTCTTTGTTTCCAAAGAAATCCTTCTGTCTGCCCAGCTTTTGGAATGTGTCTTTGGCTATCCCAATAGTTCTACGGATCTCATTTTTCACCGTCTTCTGTCCTGCAAATCACATTTCAGGCTCATCCTATAACGAATAACATATTTGATTGAGAAATTCACTCTTTTATACTACTAAAAGTAGTATTACTGGACAGATAGATGGCTACTCGGCTCATCTGCAAAGTTATCTGCTGCTTTTTGAATTAACTATACCCATATTTCACACATATGCGTCTCTGATGTGCCTGTATACCGTTATTAGACTGGTTGTCATTATTAGTATATTAAGATTACGTATATTTGTGCCACAGTGTCAGTTTGTTTTTATTTTCGCATACATCTCCCTCATTCGATAATACCAATAACAATTCGCCGGTACTTAATATGAAATAGAGTATTTGATGGTAATTTCTTTTCCTCAATATGAGTAGATTGGTTCGTTTACACACTTCCCAACTGTCTTTTGAACGGTTGAATTTTATATCTTGCTTCCTGTTTAGGTATGGATTTCCAGTTCCTTCCAAAGTCTTTTCATTGACTTTTACTCCAAAGAAGTCTTTGCGCCTTGCTTGGGGTGAATTAATTAAAATAAATATTCTACTGATTTTTATCACTCTAATCATATACCGTATTTCATGTCATACGGACACACTATTGGAATAAAATGGCGTATATAACTCGCCCTGTCTCCTATAGTATAGCATCATTTATAGATCTTTAAAAATTAATTCAGGTGTCCGCCAGGGCTCAATCTTTGAACCTACATTGTTCATAATTTTAATTAATGACCTTACTAATGTCATCATTTCTCTACTCGATATCTATGCAGATGACACATATAGTAAGTCTGATCGATTCGATAAAGTCAAATTGGCAGCTGATCTCAAAAAATGACCTACAATCTGTTGTTAAATGAAGCAAAGAGAGACATATTAATTTTAACGTCTCAAAAAAAGCAACTGTTCTCTTTTAAACATCTGAGAGAATCCTTTTTTTTATTTTCCATCAACATGATTGATGCTTACCTCGCGGGGAATGACTAATGGCAACTCCACGGGCTAACATTTTTCTGCTGATAGTAAGTGGAAAAATTATTTATTATTTATTAATTGTGAGTCAGTTGCTACTTCTGCCACTAGTTAGTTAACTGTGCCGTGTTAGAATTTTATTTTTTCACCAGAATCTATCTTAAACATTTATAAATCTACCATTCTTCCATGTATTGAATGTTACTGCCACATCTCGTCTGGTGCTCCTGTTGTGTAGTTAGATATACTTGACACTATCCAAAGAAGAATCTGTAATGACATTGGTCCTGACCTGGCATCTCTAGATACCCCAAAGGCGTTTCACAGGGTTTGTCATGCTGGTCTTCTACATAAGCTTCAGGGCCCCATTATTTCTGAATGATTTTTTGATTTAATCAAATCATTCCTATCAAATCGTGAAATGAAGGTCGTCCTGAATGGGCTCACTTCCAAATCCTTTCACAGGATTGCGGGTGTTCCTCAAGGCTCAATACTGCGTGCTACGCTGTGTCTGATCTTCATCAATGATCTTCCTGGTGTCATCAGTTCCCAAGTAGTAATTTATGTTGATGACACTACCATTTAATCCTGTGTCAATAGCAAATCCGTCAGAGCTGAAAAAGTTAACCTGGCTGCTGCTCTTGAAACGGATCTTCAGTCGTTAACTGGGGCCGGAAATGGCTTGTAAATTTTAATACCTCCGAACAAAAATGTTCTCATTTAATCACCATAGAGAAACTTCCCTGTCCATCAGCAACATGGTTGATGCTCAAATCCAGGGCACGTCGCCCTGCCCCTATTTTGTCACACGTTTTCAACTGACATGAAGTGGAACAACTACATTGAATCAATAGCTGTATCTACTGAAAGGAAAGTTGGTTCGTTGTGTCGTGCAAGAAGGTTTTCCTCGTCAGCGTCCATCTTGTACATTTACAAATCTATCATTCGTCCGTATTTCGTTAGGTTCCCCACCTGTTCATCTCAAGATTCGTGAAAAAATGCAAAGAATGATCTGCAGTGTAAAAGATCCTGACTTAGCCTGGAATCGAGACTTCAATCAATTTTTCCCAGACGTGATGTGGCTTCCCTCTGTCTTTTCTACAAAGGCGTGTTGGAAAAGGAGAATGTCACACGTTTGGGTGACCATGTCTCTTTTCGATTCATGATCACCCAAGCATATTTGCACTCAAGTGAAATTAACCCAAGCATATTTGCGCTTAAGTGAAATTAACAGAACCAGTTGAATTCGGTTTTCCGATTTATCATCCGGAGCCGTTATGCTTCTCACCAGTCGCATATCCAATTTTACAGCACCTGGTATTCCCAAGCTATCACCCATCTAGATACTGACCAGACACGACGTTGCTTAACTCCGTTGATCGGACAATAATGGAACCTTAGACACTGACAATACGATTCTTGGGTTTTACATGTCTTCAGTTAAACTTTAAAACATTTGTCATATATCATATTAAAATAATCGCATACCATGAATCTGAGAAGCGCCGATATGCCCAAGAAGCTTAATCTAATTTCTTTATAATCTTAAATTAATTTATCAATCAACGATATATGCTTACTTCTGAATTCAATTTGTCTTTGCTGAAAACTTTTCTCGTTAAGAATCCAAAGCTGAATGAATCCCTCTATTGTTAAGTCCCTTATTGAAAAAACCTCTTTTTCCCCAGTCTTCGCTTACGGTTTAAAGAATAAAGCTTCTTTTAAAATAATCTTCTGTCTTAGACGTCTTACCCCTTTCGACTGGCTTTCAGGTAAAGGCAATGTACGAAAATCATTTTGGTATTTCTCGTTCTTTGTGGAACTGTCCCGCAGAAGTGATCAAGTTAAAGTCGATTTAAATTTCGAGCTCCTTCCGCATCTCACGTACAAAATAGGGACGGAGCCAACGTTCAATCAAAACAAAACCAGCTTCCCTGCTTTAGGTAATTGCAGGAAGCTAGAAGCGACGTGAGTTTTCTTTCTTTCTTTCTTCTGTCATGCTTGCCTTTCTCTTTTCTTTACCCTATTTACCTGAAAACAATAATCATAATCAGACAGTAATATCAAGGTAGCTAAACATATTAAAATAAGTATAGACATTACTACTTGTAGATACGAATTTTGCATAACAATTTTACCATAAAATTTATGAAGTTCGCTCTGAAAAATATGACTGCAAGAGGTAAGAGGGTAAACTACAAAATACATTTAAAAGATTACGTTTAGCAGGATTGAAAGATGGCAGCAATAAGGAATCTTGATTTACTCATTATTAAAAATAAAATGAAACGATCCAACCGACAAGAAGTCAAGAAAAGTGTTAAACACCAACTTTGTTGTCATGTCCCACATTAAAGATATCATCGAAAAAGGGGTTTGTAGATAAGAATTCAGCAAGAACTGTTTCGAATAAAATAGTAATGGAGCTAGATGATTAGCAAAATGAACTAAAGATCCAGGTCTTTGTAAGAAAACAAGGTCTCATTTTATCTAGATGGCGATGGATTAAAAAAGCACCAATTTTTGAATAAATCTTTCAATTATGTTATCAGCTATTGAAAAGAATACACAAAAAATAAAAATTTATGTTTAGCAAAAATATGGAAACTTGAAAATTCCTAATTATATTAAAAAAATATGAATATTTTCAGCATATTGGGTAAATATGTATCATGAATAAAGTAAAAAAATCCTAAAGGAGTAATAGATGAAGTGGCCCTTTAAAAATAAAATAATAATGAGCATGGAGAGGGATGTACCCCATTTTCCGAACAGGAGCGTTAGTGGGAGCCGAAGCAGTAGCCGGAGCCCAAGACAGATCTGATCTGATCTGATCTGATGCGGCATTCACCCTGGGCGGATTGAGCCGGCTTCTTCCTGTTATGAGAAGAAGATTCTTGGGATAAATTACAGAAGTAGGGTACCCAGGCCTACTCGGATAACGTTCTTGCTTGCCGCGGGGTTCCCACAGACGCAGAGACAGGAACGACCAGAAGCTGCCGGTTACCGATGCAGACGCTCCTTGGATTTTCACCAGAGCCTTTGTTAGCCGGCGTGTGTGTCAGAAGTTAAGCATTGTAGAGCCAGGTCAGTACTTAGATGGGGGACCGCTTGGGAACACCTGGTACTGTAAGCCCCCAAAGTCCAACCCTTACCTCACAGTTGGTGGTTGGGGTGTAAACGGTAGTGTCAGAGCTATACCACCCGGAACTTCGTTCCTGGTAGGGCCACCCAAGGCGGACAGGAGCCCAAGACAGAGACGAAGACGGAGCCAATGTTAGAGCCAGAGCTGGAAACGTTTCCAGGGCCGAGGTCAGTCGAAGGCAGAGACAGAGTTCGAGCCAGGACCGGAGTGGCTTCAAAATCACTCAGAAAGTAAGACTCCGATTGACACTCATTAATCTGAATGTAAGGATATATTAAATTCACTGAACTATAGATTCTAAGGGTCCAAATATATTCGAATCTTATAGCAAAATCTTTCTCTGGGTATAGCAGTTCTGATGGTCTTTTTACAAAGTTGGCATCGAATAAGGGTTTTTCGTTTTTGTCAATGAAAGATAAGTAGACGCTCGATAAATGAGCAAATTATGAATTCTGCATTCAATTGTGAATGCTATATGCCAACCATTTGAAAACGGGCTAAAATTTGAAATTCTTTCTAGAGGAGGGTGCAAACGTTTTGTCATCTAGAAACTAAACAAATATCTCTACGTTTCAGTCATAAGATGATTATAATTATCGATTTTATTTATTTGTATTCTATTCTTAATGGTTTACCTTCTATGGAAGGCAAAGTACATTACTGAAAGTTTATCATCAGTACTGCTGACTTATATCAAACTTCCTCAACACCATCCTAGACACCCTCCTTGCCCAACCCTCCAGTCGACGAATTCAGGCTGCCAGTTTCTTTGATTTTCGCCGACATTGAAACTCGCGAAATTTTATTTACTATTTTTCAGTTGATACATTCCACTAAATATATTATACTGTACGGAATAAATTATTTAAAAATGGACCTTTGAAATAATAAGTTGAAGTAAAAATGTGTTCTTTGAAAAACAGGGAATACAATTCATAAGAGATTTTCAAAAGTTTATTTATAAAATTAAGGCAAGAAATATATTGTCGATTGAGTATGCCTCCAGCTTGAAAGGAGCCCGACTAATCCTGTTAATTTTATTACATTCCGTTTTTAATTAATTTCTTTCTTTGTTTCTTTCTTCTTTCTTTATTCTTTCTTTCTTTTTTTATTATGTACAATATCTACTAAATAGATTTCCGTCATATTTTGAGACACGGAGTTAAAACAATTAATTTTGTATACAGGTAAAGGCAAGAATTTAAACGACGCACTACGAATGATTTTTACTGCTTTTGAAAAAAGATATACTTGAATGTTGACGCTCTCGGGCTGAGCCGTACAATCCCGACCAGAAGAGTCGCCACTGATATATATATATATATATATATATATATATATATATATATATATATATATATATATACGGGGTGCGTGTGTGTGTGTGTGATTTGTATATTCCTTTCCTCTTATATGAGAATTTTCTGTTTTAAATGAATTTAAATGTCTTTTTAATATATTTAAAAAATAATTTTTATTATTATTTACAGATGAACAGCAGTTTTTCACAAAGGATTTTTGAAAATGAGACTTTGTTTCTTTTGGACGCCCCCCAAAATCGATGGATTTCTTCAAGATTTTCGGACATTTTTTCAGGAATAATCAAAAGAATGTTTGCATATATATATATATATATATATATATATATATATATATATATATATATATATATATATATATATATAAAAAGAAAGAACAGCAAGATATATAATCCGGTGTTCTTATAGATATTTTTATTTTTACAAAATAGTGCATCCCTTCCTACGACCCAAACGTAGCAATAACTGATACATTAAATTATAGATATATGAAAAACCCAGCCACCCCTGTCTAGAAAAACAGATGTATCTGTAACCTTGGAAACATGAATTTTGTTTTAGCTGTGTATTTAAAACCCAGTAATTTTTAAAAGTTACTCCAAAATTCGCTTGAGGATGAAATGGAACTAATGTCTTTAATTTAATCACAAAATTAAATTCGTGGCTTTTTCCATTTCTGAAACATGGTTAGAACTGTGTAGCGAAAAAAAACATATTTTAAATAAATTAATTTATATATATATATATATATATATATATATATATATATATATATATATATATATATATATATATATACAAGGAGTGAAAATAGAATTATGTAAATTTGAATCATTTTCTTATATTTCGTTGTATGATGACGATTTTCCTTTCACTAGCAACAGGTTCTCTTTAAGATTAAGCCGTCATCCTAAAAAGCTGTCTGCATGAATTCTACTACATTCCCTCTTTACCATCCTGTGCGTTTAATATGAAGTTTAGATGACAAAAATATTCATAGAGAACTCTAAATGTTATTATTTACTTTTAACTTGCAAGGGTGTGAACTACATCATAATTTTGGCAATTTATGAGACAAAAAATGATTGCGGGAGAAAAGCAATGAAAACTATTTAAAAATGTTGAATCTTAAATAATCTTCAAATACGATCCGTAGAAATGAATCAGATCTATTTAAAGATCTTGAAATGGAAACTAAAGAGTGTCGTTTAAAAGTATAAACCGTAAAAGGAAACCTTTAGAAAATAAAGAGAAAATAGTAATTGCCGCCAAAAGGAAGCAATAAAAATGTGAGAGAATAATGATTAGTAAAAACAACATTATGAAGAAAACGAACAATAAGAGAAAAAAAAACTATACATTAAGAAAGAAAAGAAACATGAAAAATGGATTATGAAAAAAAAGTAAAAAACATTATGAGGAAAAAGAAAAAAAAAACAACTTGGTCAGAACGTTATCCCTCACGAAACAAAAGATATGATAAAACAGAAGAAAAAAAATTTTAATAAAACATAGTAAAAACATGAGAGTAGGAAAACATTGTAAGAAAATTATAAAGAAAGAAACAAAATGTAATAACATAGAAAAAACAAAAATATAAAAGCGTAAAAAATATGATAAAACAAAAAAAAAACTTGTACGATAATTATATCTACGAAAGAAAAGATATGATCAAATAGAAGAAAAGGAAAATAAATTCGTGAAACTGAAAAAAGTAATTGCGATAAAAATTCGTTAAAAAGAAAAAGTATTTAAAAAAAAAATTATGAAAGAAGGCAAAACCATTAGGAAAAGAAAAACGTGAAAATAAGTGCAAATATCACGGAAGCGAAAGGAAGTATAAAGACATTATGAATAATGTATGTTGACAAATATGAATAATTTTTATTACATATAAATACGAAAAGTAAAGGCATTAAAAATATACGTAAAAAGACATGAAAAATAGAAAAAAATAATTAAGAAAAAATTTTATAAAAATGATTACTGTGAAGGAAAACAAGATATTATAAAAAAACAAAAGTAGAAAAGAACATTATGAAATAGAAAAAAAACATTATGACAATGAAAAAAAGCATTATAATAAATTAAAAACATCATAACAGATATATGAAAAAACAAATAGAAATTAAAGAACATAGAAAAAAAAAGAAAGAACCTGGAAGAGAAAAAGAAAAACTGTAAGTGAAAGAAAGATCACTACGAAAAGTTAAATAAATAGAACCAAATCCTGAATAATGAAAAACACGAAAAAAGTAAACGGTTTAAAAATGAAAAATAATATGAAAATAATTATGGGAATTGTAAATAATCTTATGATATAGAAAAACAGAAATTATCAAAAAGGATTAAATGGGAAGAAATTAAAAAAAAAGGCTTGCTTTGATCAAAAGGCAAAACCTATGGAGGTGGAAATGAAAAAAAAAAACAAAATAAGAGTCACAATAATAAATAACAGGAAATGAAGTACTCTTTATCCAAAAGAAAGTAAAACGCAATACCAATCGTCTAAAATTGTAGATAGCAAGTCTGATAAGTATTATAAGGTCAAATTGGCAGGTGATATAAAAAATAACCTTCGATGACTTGTTAACTTGGGCAAGAAATGACTTGCTAATTGTAGCACCGCCAAAACGAAGCCACTCACTTTTAATCATCATAGACAACCTTTCTAGACTTCCATCAGCATAGCTGAGGCTAACCAGTGGGAAAGTGACTCATTGCGCCTTCCTAAGCTAAAAATTTCTACAGACATGAAGTGGAATGATTATATTGACTCAATCACTACGTCTGCCATTAGGAAGTTTCGTTCATTTTGTCTTGCTGGAATATTTCTTTTAGCCAGAATGGTAATAATACTGCCATTGGTCCATGCATTAAATATAGTTGCTACATCTTTCTATATATCTAGAGATTCTTCATAAAATCCAAAGAATAATCGGCAACGTTTTTTGTCCTGACATGACATCTCAGCTTTAGTCACTTTCCTATCAAGGTAATGCAGCTTCCTTTTACCTGCTTTATGAATATTTCCATGGTAATTGTTTTGATTTCATTTTAGGTCCACAACTATTAATCGCAATGCTTGGTTGGCCGTTAATTATCGTAATTTTACTGTTGTTTACTTGATGTGACCATACGTCTTATGCTAACAGTTTATTTTCTCGCATTTCTCATTGGTTTACGGGCATTTTTTTTTAAGCGTTTCACCCCAAGCAAGGCGGGAAGTCACTAGGACGCAAGCGTGGAGCAAGATCAGATAGAAGTGATAGAAGAAAGGATGACGAGAAGGGTAGTGGATAGATCAAGGCAACTGGAGATGTCGATTGACATTATATTTGAATAGCTGGAGATTATAGCTCTCAGGGAATCTGGAATAGGGAAGGAGGTTCCACAGGCGAGAGGTGCGAGACATGAAGCTATTGGAGTAGAAGAGACGGCTACATTTAGGAGTTTCGACAGTGAAAGGGTGAGAGCGGATGCCAGCCTCGTAGGGCGCTTGAACTCATGAAGTCTGGGAACCAGCGAATGCAGCTCCTCGGAGCAACTGCCATGAAAGTATTTGTAAAACAGACAGAGAGAGGCGACGGCGCCTCTGTGAGAAAGTGACTGTAGACGAGATGCCAGAGGTGGAACACGTTGAAACATTGATTTTCGTAAGGTTAACAATG